TTTTCAGCATCACTGTAGAAACTAGTAGGAAGATCCATATACACTTCCTCTTGCAGATCTCCATTTAGGAAAGCATTCTTCACATCAAGTTGAAACAAGGGCCAAGAGTATGTGGCAGCAAGAGAAATAAGTATCTGAACATAAGTCATCTTTGCAACTGGTGCAAATGTCTCTAAGTAATCAGTGCCATAGGTTTGTGTGTACCCTTTTGCAACAAGTCTGGCCTTATACCTTTCTATACTTCCATCTGCCTTATATTTGACTATGTAAACCCATTTGCATCCAATAGTTTCCTTGCCCTCAGGTAGACCCACAATCTCCCATGTTTGATTCTTAATTAAGGCTTCCATCTCTTCCTGCATAGCTGTCTTCCACTTAGGTTTGGAGAGAGCCTTATTGACACCCTTGGGTATAGATACAAAGTCAAGAGAGGAAAGGAAAGCACGGTAGGAAGGAGAAAGTCCACTGTAGGATAAATACTGTGAAATACAATGAGCAGTACACTTTTTCTTCCCTTTTCTGAGAGCAATAGGAAGGTCCAGGTTATTTGTAATGGGATAAGTAGAATCAATGGGAACTGAAACAATAGAGGGATCAAGAGGAATACCTGAATCCGTGTCAGGATTCAGGTAGTAGAATCAATGAGTTCTGATGTAGTGGGATCAACCTCCCTGTGAAGTCTCTATCGTGAGTAACGTTGAGAAGCAAGACGCAAGGGAGGTGGTAAGGTAGGTGACATAGGACGATCAGACACAAGAGTGGACACAAGAACTGGAACCGGAAGAGGGATAGACTACTCACTCACTTCGCCAAAACACTCCCCTTGAGAAGGATTCTTCGAGAAGAAGGATGTGGACTCAAAAAGGGTGACATCCATAGTAACATACCGACTCCCAGAGACTGGATCATAGCATTAATACCCTTTCTGATTTTCTGCATATCCAAAGAAGACACACTTCTTTGCCTTCGGATGAAGCTTCGAATGATAAGGACCAAGAATATGTGCAAAGCAAACACACCCAAACACTCTGAGAGGAATATGGAACATCTCCTCCTCAGGAAAAAGGAGACTGAATGGGGTGCTGAATCCAAGTATACGGGAGGGCACCCTGTTAACCAAAAAGACTACTGTGAGAACTGCATTACCCCTAAAACGAACTGGAACTGTAGATGTGATCATCATGCTTCTTGCAATCTCAACAATGTGCCTGTTCTTCCTTTCTGCAACACCATTCTGCTGTGGACTGTAGGAACAACTGCTCTGATGGATAACATCATATTCTAACAGATACGTAGCAAGATGTTTTTCAAAATATTCCCTAGTATTGTCTGATCTAAACACCTTTATTCGTATCCCAAACTGTATTAGCACCATCTGATGAAATTGCCTTACCAAGGATGGTACCTCACCTCGGGATCTCATTAAGTAAATCCAAGAATATCGAGAAAAATCATCCACAAATAAGAGAAAATATTGATAACCACCCATAGAAGGAACATGATAAGGTCCCCACACCTCAGAATAAATAACATCAAAAGGAGATGAACATTTTTTATTACTAGCTTTAAAGGAATGTCTACAATGTTTTACAAGTTGACAACCTTCACACTCCGGGCTTGACAAATCAACAGACTCAAAAAGCTTTGGAAACAAGAAACTCAAAGAAGAAAAAGACAGATAACCTAAATGATTATGCCAAAGCATAATTTGACTCATAGACCCTGACTCACTATCCCTGCTGACATGATGACCCTGATGAGGAGGAAGCACATCCAGAAGGTAGATTCCATTCACTTCACAACCACTCCCAATCGTCCTCTTTGAATCCAGATCCTGCAAAATACAATGATCAGGAGAAAAAATTACTGAACAGTTCAGGTTCTTAGTCAAACTACTAACAGATAATAGGTTAGTACTCAATCTGGGAACACGAAGGACAGAGGGAAGGGAAATGGAATCACTAATCTTGATAGACCCCTTCCCAGCAATGAGAACATGAGATCCATCAGCTGTAGAGACTCTGTCTCCTCCAGAACAGAGTTGGTAAGAGGAAAAGATAGTGAAACTATGGGTTATGTGCTCTGAGGTTCCAGAACCTATAATCCAAGGAGGCCCATCCTTAACTGTAGTAGAAACATAATTTGCAGTAGCATGTGAACTACCTGTGTGAGCAGAGGAAGTAGAGTGTGCCCCACCAGAACGACATGTACCTGGCTGTCCACTTGTTACTAAATTAGAATTGATTGTATCCTACTGATTTAGGAACTGCCTATATCTCTCAAGTTCGGCCCTCACTGTAGCAACTGTAGTGGGAGGGGCCGTTATGTCACCAGTGACTGCCATGTGAGCATTTCCCTTCTTGTTTTTGAGTCTATTTGGCACCAAATGAGGATGAAGCTTCTAGCAAGTATCTCTTGTGTGTTTAGGCTTTTTACAGTAGTCACAAATCAATTCCTTTTTGTCTTCCTTCTTGATTTCACTACCACCCCGGTCTTCACTTTGTTTAGGTCTTATAGTGCTAACCATGGTTGATTGATCAAAACCAGAATTTTTCATTATCACATTTCTCCCGCTCTCTTCCCCTGACACAAAGGCATATGCTTGGGAGAGAGTAACACTGTCCCTGGAAAGAATGTGTTGTCTTGCAATATCATACTCGGGATTAAGGCCAACAAGAAATTCAAAAACCTTATACTTCTCTAGGAGCTTCTGATAGGCAGCTGCATCCTTAGTGGTTTCCCAAACAACTGTCTCCAGATGGTCAATCTCCTGCCACAGGGTTTTAAGGGCTGAAAAGTAAACAACAATAGGTTTATCTCCTTGCCTTGTAGCAATAATCTGATTTCTCAACTGATAAGTCCTAGCAACATTCTCCCTCTGTGAATAGGTTTCTGTAACCCCATCCCATATTTCCTTAGTTGTATTTGCCCACAAAAAAATTTTACTTATATGGGGCAGCATCAAATTACACAGCTAAATCATCACCATATAGTTTTCCTGTACCCACCGGGAGCTGTTAGTTTCGGGTTTCACTTCTTCACCAGTGATATACCCTAACTTCCCACGAGCACCAATGGCCATCTCTGCAGATTGTGACCATTCTAAGTAATTTGAACCATCCAACTTAACTGTAGTAATGGTTCCAGCCCCGAAAAGGTCTCCGACACCTCCTCCTATTGGTTCCATTTCACTCCCAGGCTTGTTTTCAACTCTGTTACCCTCCATAATTATCAAAAAGGGGGTAGAAGGTTACTGTAATATGCAAGAATATCAAATAAATCACTTTTGGTACCAACGACACCATTCTGGTGCCTAGATGGTCATCTCACAAAAGATTCCTTTTTTGCGGGACGGGAGAAGAGAGAGAAGAGGCAGCCACTCTCTCCAGAAACCTCCAAAGAATCCTAAAAAATCAGGGCGCCACTTCCTAGGTAAAAATTGAAGAGTCCAACAGAAATAGGACTCTCCCCCTTTCTCCAGTTTCTCCTGATTTTGATGGGAAATCCTAGACTAGCTACAGGGCAAATAGATCCACCAAAAAATCCAAAAACTGGGCTTACCTGAGATCTTCGATCAACCTCTTAAATCACCATGCAGTCGGTCGATCTAGGACTGCATGATAGAACAGCTCAAGGAACCTTCGGCTTCTCTGATACGAAGTAGAAATCACTTATTTTAGTTTTAGATAAATTCCTTGTGAAGAGAAAGAAGAAGGTGAAGAGTTTCAGCAGTAGAGAAGAAAAGGAGTAGGATGTCAGCTAGAATTGAATTAGTTTTGGCCGCCAACCTCTCTTTGTATTATATACTCAACTTAAAAGAATAAGAGATTACAAGAATGCCCTTAGTAGGGCGGCTACTTAAGTAACTGAACAGTTACAACATAAAAATATAAAACTAATGGGCCTAAAGCCCAACAACTTCCTAACTTRACAACTTAAAAATAAGAAATAAATAAATAGGCCCAATAACTAGAAATAGGCCCAACTCAACAGTAGGAATCACTCCATACAGCAAGAGAGCTCTTAAGAAATCTTCATTCATCCCTTAACCTCAAAAGGAAGAGAATACATCTATTTATAGAGTGACTTGTGTGGCCCGGAACACTGTTCACCATAATTATAAAAAGTACCACTCTTTGTCTTGTGCACCAAGAAACACAATAACTTTCTATCTATTAATGCAAATAAACTGAAAATTGAAAAACAAGCACTAATAAGCTATAGGAACAAGATGCTATAGCTCAAATCCACATTGGGCTGGTCAAAATGACGAAAGTACCCCTGACCAGATCAGTCCAAGTCCCAAGAGTCTTCTCCATGCCAAATCAGAACCTGTTTGTTGGCCTTCTTCTTATGAGAATTGGTTTTATAATGCATGGACCGATCCCCATCAGTTCCCCTCTCCATTTGAGAAGTTCTGTAATCTATCCGAATGGCCTCTGTCACATGGAAAAAAAAAGTGCGCCTTTGGCCCACCTTTTGAACTGAATCTTAAGCTGCAAAGTCTAGCATCATTTGTAAAAATTGAATAAAACATGGGTACTGCAGAGTGCAGAGGCTTCTCTATCAGAGGCGGACAATAGATTTTCTGGTTAATTGGTGGAGTAAGGCTAAACCGGTCCCTAACATCTACACCATCAAGAATATGATTTGGGATTCATATGTCACAAAAGTCAAATAACGGCTCCATAGGCATGTCTGAACAGCCAGTCAAAATATCATGTTCCCGGAACTGGCTAGTATTTCCTTAACTGGTGTAGTGTGTTCCAGTGCTATGGTTTTCAGTCTACAGTGCTCCAACCATGGTGCAGTAATCATCAATCATTTTGATCATTAATGTATACACGGTTGTTGTACCACCGTCACTTGGATTAAGTTGGCATGTTAATAATGCATTCATCTATTTTCTTTGCATCTTTTCTTTTAGGGTTCTTGGCAACTTTGCCAAGTTGTTGCATGCTTATGCTTTTTCTGAAGTATTGGAATCTTCTATTGGACAGGTCTTCTCAAAACTGTTAGGTTCAAATCATCAAGAAGCCAAGATAAATATCCTCAAAGATGTCAGTGGCATCATCAGGCCTGGAAGGTAGGTAGAAAAGCTTCTTTAACTTTCAGTGAATAATTAGAAAGGAATTATCACATATACATGTACTTTTCTGGGGTATGGTTGTGTGGCTATTGGTACCTTTTTAAGGACTAATTGCCTTTTTCGCTCAACTGTTGTTAAAGAAATTGTTGTTCCAAAAGAGAAGTTTTGCCATTCTTTAGACTGTTTCTAGACCATGACCCCTTTCTAGATGTCAGATAGGTTAATAAGAAAGACAGTTATGATTGTCCATTTCAATCTAGTTTTTTTTTAATATATCTCCTTGGTGAAGTGAATCACATAATCCTACTTGCCTGCAATATAACACTGTCATAGTGCTTCTCTATTGATAACTTCTTTCTACAATCTACCATTGTGTGTACTTTAGGTTTTCATCATTGTACAAGGATTATCTGGTAAATAATTCAATATCATATGAATTTCAAATAGCTCCAGAAAGACATCCCTTTCCGCATTTTCCTAAGCCATAAAAGAAGAATTCATAGTATTATCCAAGTAATCACACTCATGTAGGCTTGTCTGGGTTGCAGGATGACTCTGTTGCTTGGCCCTCCAGGATGTGGGAAAACCACTTTGTTGCTGGCACTTTCAGGGAAATTAGACCAAAACCTCAAGGTTTTGTACATTTGATCTCTTATGAAAACCCTGTGAAAATCCAACTTATAGAATAACAGATAAACAATGCATATGGTTATGAACATAGTTCAGTAAATCAATAATTTTCAAACTATATACAGCATTCTTAAGAGAGGAATGGTAATGGAAAGATGAATTGATTGAGTTGGGTAGATCATGTGTTATTGTTCTAAAATTCAATTGGACTTGCTTATATTTTCAAATAAAGACTTGTAAAAGGCTTGATTATCTGTATAAAAATGAAAAGTTCTGGTTTCAATTTGTTCATAGTGTCAGCCAAGAATGCCACATACAAAAGGTGGCTTAGGTTACATTCTTGAACTTGTACGCACAAAGCACCTCAATATGTACATATAGTCAAGCTTTCCTGCAGGGAAAGATGAAGTTAAAGCGAAAATGAATACACAATTTAAGTAAAAATTGAATGTTTAAGCTGATTTTCCTTATTTTTACCAACACCGTGAATTCTGGTTCTTATCAAAGATTTTTTTTTTCTCTTAAACTACTTTCTAGATCACAGGTGAAATATCTTACAATGGTTACAGTTTAGAAGAATTTATTCCTCAGAAGACATCAGCTTACATAAGCCAACATGACTTGCACATTCCCGAGATGACTGTAAGAGAAACACTTGATTTCTCAGCTTGCTGTCAGGGTGTTGGAAGCCGAGCAGGTAGGCTGTCCTTGGTCACATATTTACAGTGGTTTGGTTGTAGGTTTGTTATCTATCTATGTTCAAAACTTGTTTTGTAACCCATTATATGTCTGTCAAGATATTATGAAGGAGGTCAGTAGAAGGGAGAAACAGGCAGGGATTGTTCCAGATCCAGATATTGATACCTACATGAAGGTATTACATCAGCATATCTGCTTGTCCTTGCTCAATGTTTTCTGTTACAGCCTTATAGGTATGAGCACAAATAAAAGGCTGTCCAATATGAGGGCCAAAAGTTTGCACTGATGTTAAAAGAGACTCAAAACAGTGTTGCTATGGATAAACATGTAAGAATTGGATATAATGGTTTTATCACATACCTGGTGAGAACATATACAGGCATAAGTAATAAAAAGTTTAAGAGGATCTAATGGCACTGAAGTCATTATACACGATGGAGCCAAAGTACTTGTAACACAATTTGATTTGTAGCCATCACATGGAACCAACGTTTATTGAACCAAAATCCAGTTGATGGACCAACACATTCTGTGGCAGGTGGCCCACAATTCTTTTTCTTGTTTGACATACAACATTGATGAATGAGAAAAAAACCTCCAGATTATTTCTAATACTTCTGATCAGTCCGAGTTGGGGTGTACCTCAGATGGTTGGGGCTATCTGACCTGTAGAGTTCTTACCATAACCAATCCAAGAGGAGTTGCATAGAATGGAAGTCCATATACGCATGTATACCTCATTTGCAGCAGAACATGTTTGGACCCTAATCCTGGGATTCTTTTAGTGCATTGAAGGTATCTCTGCTGTGTTCTATTGTGGTATACTGACACGTCCCTTGTTTTCATCTTTTATATGAAATTTAAACATTTCTCTAATTCCCAACCACAAGGAAAAACACCCTAGGACTTTAGCTAAAAGAAAAAAGCCATACTTAAGTATGTATACAGTTCTTTGTTGTCAATCTGCTTGTGAACAAGCGAGGAGAAATCATGTGCAACATGGTATCATCCCTTATTTTTATATGATTAGATAGCCTGTTATGTTCCTATGCTGGTAACTATGGTATATACTGTTTAACAGGCAATTTCGGTTGATGGCCTTGAGAAAAGCCTTCAAACAGACTACATATTAAAGGTAGTTGTCTTCAATAGAGATGACATGATGCTTTTTCTTGGTTAACCCATATGTCTACTACTGCTATGTTTGCACTGATTTTTCTCACATATCAATTCTTCCCAGATCCTTGGACTTGATATATGCGCTGACACATTGGTTGGAGATGCTATGAGAAGAGGCATATCAGGTGGTCAAAAGAAGAGACTGACAACAGGTAGTGTGTCATAAAACGAATTAATTTATTTTGGTAGAAAACGGCTTTTCCAGTTTATTCAACAATGACCTTAGTTTGGTAGGATCCAGAGCCTAGCCAGTTTTATACTACTATGTAGGGGCATATGATGAAAAACCTTGTTTTAAGTGCTGCTTCATGTTTCAGTTTCATATCCTTCAATTTATTATCAGCGTTCTAATAGGTGTCCCCCTTAAATCCTATCATGTAGGGGAGATGATTGTGGGTCCAACAAAAGCTCTGTTTATGGATGAAATATCAACTGGCTTAGATAGTTCCACCACGTTTCAAATTATTACCTGTCTTCAACATCTGGTGCATATCACAGATGCTACAGCATTGATTTCACTTCTTCAGCCAGCACCAGAGACCTACGATCTCTTTGATGATATTGTATTGATGGCAGAAGGGAAGATTGTATACCATGGTTCACGCAATCATGTTCTCGAGTTCTTTGAAGATTGTGGATTTAGGTGTCCAGAAAGAAAAGGAGCTGCTGACTTCCTCCAAGAGGTGCAGAGCAGCTTATTCTTCTTTCTTACTCTCTGTCTCTCTACTAGAGCTGTTAACACAACTTTAGCTACTACAAATAAAAACTAATCAAGCATAAAGCTGTCACTATACAAAAAGGCCCTACCGGTTTTAGCTGTAGAGTTCTGCTCTCTAGGGATCCATTGAATCTGCAATCTGTTTCCATCTTCTGAGAAAGTTAGAAGGAATGGAATATACGTGTACTCTAAGGAGAGGAGCATTCAATTTGGAGATTATTCTTAATGCTAGTTAGTTTGTAATTGTGTAGACTATATGCCATAAGGAATATGAAGGCCATATGAATGCAGGTATAAGACATCATTTTTTGTTTAGTGAAACTTAAATTATGACCCCTATTTGCAATCTCATATTTTGTTTGATTGGAAACCCATGTTAAAATACTTAGGGACTCCATGTTTGTTTGAAAAGGAATTCATTTTAATCACATATGCACAGTCAATGACTCTTGGTGTTCTTTTTGTTGTTGTTTTTGTTGTTTGATTTACCTTATCAAGGTGAAGCTATTTGATTTTTCCACCTATTTTCAGGTTCTCTCTCGAAAGGATCAAGCACAATATTGGAAACATATAGAGCTACCTTATAGATTTGTTTCTGTTGATGAATTCTCTAGAAAGTTCAAGGAATACCATATTGGACAGAATCTAGAACAAGATCTCTTGAAGCCATATGATAAGTCCCAGAGCCACAAGAGTGCATTATCCTTTAGAGTGTACTCCCTAACTAAATGGGAGCTCTTTAGAGCTTGCATGACAAGGGAATTTCTTCTCATGAGGAGGAACTCTTTTATATATGTGTTCAAAACAACTCAGGTAGCTACCATTACATTAGGTATTTTGTCATTCTTATCAATAATATTAATATATCGTGTTAAGGCGTTGGGAAAGCTAACAGCATCTTCACATCCTCTTACAGCTTGTTATCATTGCATCCATCACAATGACTGTTTTTCTGCGGACTCGAATGGATGTTGATGTGGTTCATGCAAATTACTACATGGGTTCTCTATTTTATGCACTTGTCATACTTCTTGTTGATGGATACCCAGAGTTATCCATGACCATTGCAAGACTTGCTGTTTTTCACAAGCAGAAAGCTCTGTATTTTTATCCAGCTTGGGCTTATGCTATCCCAGCCGCTGTTCTGAAGATTCCACTTTCTTTAATTGAGTCCTTGGTTTGGACATCCCTTACTTACTATGTCATTGGATACAGTCCTGATATCAGAAGGTGTGTCATGTTGAAGCCCAAATTTTAGTAGACAAACCAAACACACTTTAGGTAGACTGTAGACCCAACTAATAGCATGTTGTGGAAGTGGTATAGGTCCAGTATGATGGGACCCACACTTCAATGTAGAATAACTGAAGGGTCATATATGCCCCCCTCCCAAAAAAAAAGAAAAAAAATTGACAAAAGAGAATCAACAAGTAAAGAAATTAAAAGTTGGAGTCTGTAACATCTTATGTATTGGTTACCTTGGAAAAAGATGAGAGGAACTAGTTGATTATTTTTTTGATAAATTAAGAGGAATAAGTTGATAAATGGGTCTCAGAATATAATAGTCCTGTTTTTATACCTTTTAGAGTGGATACCTTGAGTGTGCAGGTTCAAACCCTCCTGCACACATGTTTCTAGGTATCAGTAGATTCAGTACATGTTTGGAAGGTCAAAAAATTATTTTTATTGCACGCATGGTTGATTCTCTCTTCAGAGTACTGTAAGATAATTTTGGATACAGAAATTGCATAGTTCATTTTGGACTAATGTATATCTATTTTTATGTTTCTTAGGTTCTTCTGCCAGTTCCTTCTACTCTTCGCTGTGCATCTAACATCGATATCCATGTTCCGTTTTGTTGCCTCAGTCTTCCAGACTGTGGTTTCTGCTATGACAGCTGGCAGTTTTTCATTATTATTTGTCTTTTTATTTGGTGGTTTCATTATCCCAAAATGTAAGGTGGCATCTTTACTTATTACCTCCAGACTAAGTTCTCAAATGGATTTACTTAATGGTTTTATGGATGCAGCCTCTATGCCTGCTTGGTTGAAGTGGGGATTCTGGGTTTCCCCATTGACATATGGTGAAATAGGGATAACTGTAAATGAATTCCATGCTCCACGATGGCTAAAGGTGAGCATCAAACTGCCCAATGCGATATCTTTTGTGATTGAGGCAACTTAGGTAGCTTACTGTTACATTATAGTGATGTTATTGCCAATGTTCTATGGATGTTCACTGCATACGTGAAAATGATTGGGCCCACTTCTTTGATGCATTGTTAAATCAGATCTATGTTGGTGTTGGCATACTAAGATGTCAAATGACTCGAATCATCTTATTGATGGATCTTTCTCCTTTTCATTTAATTCCACCATATGTTTATCAAACATTTCAAAAGTACATAAGATTATAGGCTATGAACATTTGATCGTTCTGAATACATAGATATATCTTGGATGGAATGAGTAAATATATAGATATTTATCTTACATGGTACACGTAACTGTATGGCATATAATCTTATATATTTTCCCAAAAATAAATCTTGGTTTTACCCATAGTTAGGTTTGTCTGATTACAATGAAATTGTTGGTCATTCATTCTTCAGTAATTGCCCTCTCTGTTTCCTCTTTATAGATGTCATCCACAAACACAACTATAGGGGAACAATTACTTGAAAGCCGTGGATTAAACTTCAATGGATACTTTTATTGGATATCACTCGGTGCCTTATTTGGATTTTCTATACTTTTCAATATTGGTTTTACCCTGGCCTTAACTTTTCTAAAGCGTAAGTTCATCTTTTGTTGCTTCATATGACTATTAAGAAAACAATATATTTGTACATGGTAACCTACTTGCCTTTGATACACGTCCAGCTCCAACCTCTCGGTCTTTTATTTCATATGAAAAACTCTCTCAAATACAAGGAACAGAATATTCAATCAATGGTGCATATGTTGAGGAAGACCCCACTGATATTCCTTCTTTAACCACATCAGAACCTAAAAAAGGTGAGATCAGTTCCCTAATTATCTATTTTATTGTTGACAATGTTAATAGAAAATGAATTCTTGTCAATGTCAAGCCTGACATTGCTGGTACCTAGCTGATGGAGGAGGATAGCATGCAGCTGAAAGCTAATGTAAATTTTTATATCCATGATCGTTTATTGAATCCTTGAATCCCCATATAGTTGGCACAAGGCTTTGTTGAGTCAGCTTGATAGTTTTATTGAATCTTATGCAGAGTAAGTGGCAGCTGCTGCTCTACCATGATGAATATTATCTTAGATTTGATTCTCCTGCCTTACTTAAGAATCCCATGGCTGATTTTACAGGAAGGATGGTTTTACCTTTTCAACCTCTAACAGTAACATTTCAGGATGTACAGTACTATGTTGACGTTCCTGTGGTAATCATGTTAAAACAACTTTTCTTTTTGCACTTAATTTGAATAATGTGTCAAATATAGGAAGAAACCAGATTAGATGAATTGAATAAACCTTCAACCATTTTGGTCTCAGGAAATGAGAGAGCATGGTTTCACAGAGAAGAAGCTCCAGCTTCTTCAAGATATTACAGGTGCTTTCAGGCCTGGTGTTCTTACAGCATTGATGGGTGTCAGTGGAGCTGGGAAAACAACTCTGATGGATGTTCTTTCTGGAAGGAAAACCAGTGGTACTATTGAAGGAGAAATAAGAATTGGTGGGTATCCCAAGGTGCAAGAGACATTTGCTCGGATATCAGGTTACTGTGAGCAGACTGATATACATTCTCCACAAATCACCGTAGAAGAATCTGTAATATATTCTGCTTGGCTGCGGCTCCCACCTGAAATTGATTCAAATACTAAAGCTGTAAAGATTCCTTAATCAAGAACTGAACTTTTTTCTTTCTGAAGGTATCTTTGAGACAACCTTATAGTAAAACTGGTGGAACATGTTTTTTGCAGGAATTTGTAAATGAAGTCCTTGAAACCATTGAACTTGATGAAATTAAAGATGCTTTAGTAGGAATACCTGGTATTAGTGGTCTATCAACTGAGCAACGCAAACGTCTTACCATAGCTGTGGAGCTTGTTGCGAACCCATCTATTATCTTCATGGATGAACCTACTTCAGGCTTGGATGCAAGAGCTGCTGCGATTGTCATGCGGGCAGTTAAGAATGTAGTCAATACAGGAAGAACAATTGTTTGCACTATTCACCAACCAAGTATTGATATCTTTGAGTCATTTGATGAGGTAAAATCCACCATTTCTATGGTGAATTCTGAAGATAAATAGTATATTTGAAACACATGATGGGCTGTAATATTCACTACTGTGAAACCATTTGTCTGTCTCTTGGAGCCCGAGAATGATGCTTCCCACACTCAGCACACTTGGTTCAGATTTTTTGAGTTGGATATTTTATGAATTCAATAAGTAAGACACCCCAAAATGTTCAGAGTCATAAAGGCTCATCACCGAATGTTGGTCCCAGTTATATGGAGTCTTGGGAAGGGTGGACTGGATTGTCATAACTTTTTGGCATTTTTTGCATGGAGTGGCCACTCTCAGACTCGAACCTGCTTTCTCATACTTGACAGCCCGAGATTTTACAACAAATTTGGTCCTTTCACTTGTATTCCGTCAATAACAATAAATACTTTTCGACTATCTACCTTTCTTTAAGATTCTCAATCTTTAACTCAATATTTGAGAGTTAATATCTTTTATTTAGTGTTTAGTTGATCTGCATATTGGCTTTGCCCCATTCAATAGAGGACCACCTTTGTCCATCCGCAGAAATGTTTAATAGATTTCTTAATAGCCATGAGGTTTCTTCTTGATTGCCCACCTAAGGAGTCAGCACCATTTATGTAAGCATCATCTGTGGTTCTTCTTGAGTAGTACATAATTTTTCATGCAGCAGTTACAAAATTCTTTTGCACAATTTGAGTTGCATCTTTTGGGAGTTCCATTAATCAGGTATTTGAATATGCTATCTATATGCTTCATGTCACGTTTATTATGCTGGAATTTGATCAACTTTGTTGGAACTTGAAAAGTAGACATGGTGTCACCATTTTCTATCTTTTCATTTTTCTTTATATCTAACGCTGTAGTGTGATTTAAATACATTGGTTACCAGTCCAATGACAATTTGCTCTTCTTGCAGTTGATTTTAATGAAAACTGGAGGAAGCATAATCTACTCTGGACCATTGGGTCAGCATTCAAGTAGGGTTATTGAATATTTTGAGGTAAGTTTGAAATGAGAATACTTACAAATTTTGAGATTTTATTTTCTCCATCATTCAGTTTTTTATATAACTTCTCCTTATTTTTATCAAATGAATTGTCAGAACATCTTGATTTTGCTAACTCTATTTTTCCAATAGAGTATCCCAGGGGTGCCAAAGATTAAAGACAACTATAATCCAGCAACATGGATGCTGGAGGTCACTTCTTCATCTGCAGAAGCAGAACTTGCTGTGGACTTTTCCAAACTTTATAGGGAGTCGGTATTTTATGAGTGAGTACAACTACGAGCTATTAATTCCTACAGCAGTGCCTAAGGGGAAATCATGGGATGACACTGTTGTATAGTATTATAAGCATAACATTTCTATGGTATGGCAGTACATGTGCTTACTGATTATGGTCAATCTAATTAATTTCCCACCTAGAATATTATATAATTGTCAGATGATTTCGATTTTAACTGTAATGAATTGCGTCTTATGCACCTTCTTGGAAAAGGTCCTGAAAATTTTCTTCCTTTTAGATTGTTTGATATTGAACCATCCGATTTGATTTAACATTTAGCTAGTGATTTTATCAGTTGGATTTAGTGATTAATAAAACAGGAAAATGAAAGTGTCATGCATTCATGTTACGATACATAACAAAGATGGCAACAGGAAACCAAAGGCTCAAGTTTTAGTTTCCTAATAAGTATTGAACATCTTCAGATCTACTCTATCACTAGGAGAATCAAAACAAAAATATGGGGAAATTGAAGCTTTCACAAATTAAGGATTGATAGCTATTTATCAAATGCCACATGAAATCTGCATGGATCAGCATTTGCAAAAATAGAAAGGAAAGACGAACAACATGCAATGAAGAACAAGTTCTTCAAGGATATGAGATCAAAATCTATAAAAAGTGATTCAAATTCAGAATGAAAATAAAGGGAAGTAATTTCAGCACATCACTTTTTTTATAAAAGCGGCACAACCAAATTATTGATCAAAATATACTTATTCTAAAAGACAAAAGCAGCACATCACTTTTTGGTAATGTGGAGTGTGCCCTAATCAGTTCTCAATAAATTAATTATGTGAAAATAATTCTTCGGACAATATTTTTCTTACTTCAAAATCTAGACCTATAAAACTTGACTAGATTTATCCAAAAAGAGAAAAGTAAAAAAAAAAAAAAGAATAAATCCCTCAAGTGAAAATATTTAGGAAAATCCAAAAGCTGAAGGGTAGCTGTATTTCAAAGTCATTGCATGACCCTTGGTTAAATAAAAGAAATTACTTATTTTTCTTCTTTTTTTGCACTTATGATGTTCTTCTGAGTGGATTTAACCAGAAAGGGATAAGTAAAAAAAGGAAACCCTCAAATAAAATTAATTTAGCAGATCTAAAAGGAAAGGAAACCATATTTCAAACTTTTCTTTACATCATAGTATGATCATTGATTTAAAATAAAGGGATTTTTTTATAGATTTCTCCATTTCCTTTTCTAGGTTTGTCATGATTTCTTCTTACTTTTCTTTTTTTTTTTTTCTTTTGAAGCCAAAGGCTAACTTTCATTGAAGAATGCTCAGATTACAAGAAACCAACGCATAGACTGAACAACTACCAAGAGACCCAACAAAAGAAGCAGAAAGACACAAGCAAAATAATACTGATAAAACAACAAAGACATTTAAACTAAGTAAACTGATCACCAGGGAGTGTTGTCTTGCAAGGAGGGCTCTTCTTAGGAGAGCCTTCAAGGGGTGGGCCTGGTCTCTTAAATTCCATTACATTTCCCAAGCAAACAAACTTCTCCTTCAAATCCTTCCCAAAATGTTTATCCTGTGACAACAGTTTCCAATTAGACATAGGGACAGACCTTGACCAGAAAATCTGGCCAACTAACCTTCCTTTTTGCTTATAAATAAATAAAATTATTCCAACCTTTGATACAATTAGAACACCTAAAATATAGGGACTTTAACAAAATCGCATGTTACTCTCTAACATTCTTGCATAGTTTTCTAGGGCAAGTTAAAAGTTAAAGCTAAAGTTTCCGGTTGTCATAAAATTTCTTTCAATACATAATACAAGATATGGTTATCTTAAAACCATGGTTATGGTTTATGGGCATTTTCTATTGTGTTCTGGTTGCAGGGACAACAAAGAGCTAGTGAAGCAATTAAGCATTCCACCTCCTGGTTCAAAGGACTTGCATTTTTCTACCCGTTTTCCACGGAATGGTTGGGAGCAGTTCAGAGCTTGCTTGTGGAAACAACACTTGTCCTATTGGAGAAGTCCTGCATACAACTTTATGCGACTTATGCATATGTTTATCTCATCTCTGGTGTTTGGAGTTCTGTTTTGGAATCAAGGGCAGAAGATGTAAGCCATTTAAACTTTATGAATGCTACAAGTAGAGGATATCCAATATATTATAAGAGTAATAGTCAAGCATGTATTAGTGAACCTGGAAAAGATAAAGATCAGAGGGCCTTCATACAATGGGTCCCATAAAAGATATTGGATGTCCTAGCTCTAAACCTCAGCCAATGTATTAACCTTCTGATATATCCCATTTCTTATATTTCACATTTTTTTGGATGAGTTATATATAAGTTAAATGCTTAGGATCACTTTATTTATTTGATTTATTATTTAAAATATCTATTAGGTGGGTTGTATCAATTGATGAATTCCAGTAAATTAATAACATGTAGACCACTTTATTGGTATGCTATTCCTAGATTATTGTTGGATTATGCAAGGGCAGATCAAGCTCTTCCAAAGCATGTTGTAGTAAACATGATGAAAAAAATTAGTAGAATTTGTAAAATATAGTCCTACTTGCAAATGGATGTGTTCGTTGATTTGCTTCATTTGGAAAGGGTAAGTACATCTCTAGGGGGAGAAAAAATGCTCTAGGACTATTCAGATTCTAATCCCTAGATATGTAACACTTTTTTGTTCTATGTTTCAAATGGTAATCAAGACTTTCTTACATTAACTAACATATTATTTTTATTTTTTTGAAGAAATAACCAACAGGACTTGTTCATTATACTTGGTTCAATGTTCATTGCTGTGATTTTCTTGGGCATTAACAACTGCTCATCAGTTTTGCCATTTATTTCCATAGAACGCACTGTTTTGTACCGGGAGAAATTTGCAGGAATGTATTCTTCATGGGCCTATTCCTTTGCACAGGTCAAAATTCTCTCTCAAAAACTCATAGAATATTCCACCCGTGGAGTATACCATATTCGATAATAAACATGATTTTTCTAAAACTGCATTTAGATTCAGTTAGATTCACTAATTCATCTGAACAATTTGATTAACTCATGTTGATTTGTCTTCTTTCTAAACCTTTTATTTTTGAGAGTTGGAAAAAATAAAGGAAGGTGTTTAAAATCGGCAGTATTCTATTTAAAGCTTTTCCCATGGATTTCTGCTCTATTTTATTTAAGGAACGTATCAGTTTTCATGCATTTTGTATTCCTCTCTTAATATTTCTGTTGTTTGCAATTGTTTATAAACTTTTCAAACTTATACCAAGCGGAACTTAATATTTATTGTTCTAAACTCTGTTATTAATCTTTTGAAGTCTACTTGATACTTTGTCCAAACATCTCAGGGTATTATATTATTAGTATTTCCTATATTTTCAGCTTAGGCAAACTTACAACTTGTTTTTGCAGGTGATAGTTGAGCTTCCCTACTTGTTTGCTCAAACGTTTCTGTTTGTGATTATTACATATCCAATGATTGGATACTACTCATCAGTCTATAAGATATTCTGGTATTTTTATGCCATGTTTTGTAACTTGGTCTACTTCAATTATCTTGGAATGCTGATAGTGGCATTGACACCAAATGTTCAAGTGGCTGCCATACTGTCCTCTGCCTTCTACACCATGCTCAATTTGTTTGCTGGGTTTCTGATGCCCAAACCGGTAAGACAACCACTAACTTGGATGTGTGTGGTCATTTGCTCCTTTTTTGTGCCTCAAGCTACTCATATCATCTTCCTACCATGACATGGGTATCTGCACAGTGTGGATTCCTGTGAAAAAAAGACTATTTGCGCTGACCTTTCTATGATGAAATCAATAGCTTGAGTTTAGAGTTTCAGAACCGATAATAAGGTATAGTTGGCATGTGTCCATAATTTAGAGGATTGAAGATAAATGGGAAAAAATAAGCTTTCAACACTGGTAATTGTTCCTTTTTGTTGCATTCATTTTGATAGTGGAGTAAAGTGCTGCATTCATTTGTAGGACACGTCTAACTGTCGGTTCTAATCCTTTCAATGTGAAACATGTGACAACTTGTAAGGGTGGCCATAACCACGAATCCTATAGGTCCACAGCCAAGAAGCTTACATATATTTATATGATGCACAAGTCCTTGTAAAATGGAAATAACAATAATAGGAAAACAAGAACTATTTAATATTTTTCTCATGTTGTTTTTTGGTTCTTTATGTGTGTGTGTGTGAATGTGGGTGTGGGTGTGGGTGTGGGTGGGGGAAAGCAGACATTCCACCACTAGACTCAGATGAGACATATGACAATACAAGCTGATGTCTGAGCCCCAAGGGCATCCTGTCCCATGTAAGAGTCCCCTTTACCAAGTAGCCACATTTCAGTCTCTATGTTGAAGAAACAAGCCTTGGTCAAGAACAGCTACACTAGATTTCATCCAAAGAATTGCATTTACTGAGCCACTTTCAATTGCAAATGGGTCATCCAACCCCTGAGAAAAAGATGCTTACCGGCTAAGCCAATTATTTATCTAAGCAAGTGAAGATGCATTCAGATTGACTGTTGTGGAATAAGCTTACCAGGTGTAGGACCTATAATTAATAATGTACCAACAAAACATGTATGAGACTGACCCATATATGTGCCTTTCTTGCAGCGAATTCCGAAATGGTGGATTTGGTTGTATTATATTTGCCCCACATCTTGGACACTGAACGGTCTCTTAACATCACAATATGGGGATATAAACAAGGAGATATTGGTATTTGGTGAAACAAAAACAGTGGCTGCCTTCTTAAGGGATTACTATGGGTATGACCATGATCGTTTGGCCCTTGTGGCCATTGTCCTTTTGGTCTTTCCTCTTGTCTTGGCATCTCTTTTTGCATACTGTATAGGAAGGTTGAATTTTCAGAGGAGGTAAATTGTGTACAAAATATAAACCAACCATATCCGAAATCTCTGAATGCTGTTGTATATTGTCTCACATCTCCCAAAAGAAATTATCATATATCAAGTAATTTAAATTGTTAAAATGTTGTGTATGAATTAATGCAGCAGTGACTTGGATTATTATTAAATGTAGCTAGTAAGATAGTGTTTTAGAAATTCTGTATTGTCTATAAGGGCCTTTGCAACGAGCAAGGTAAATTCACCCAAACATGCCATTCTTTTTCTTTCTCATTCTACTTTCATATATATTTTTTCTTTATTCCAAAAACCCCCAAATGAAAACCAGAACTTCGGTGGATGATGATGATGATGACAAATGTTAGCTGCCAAAATTTGCTAAAAGGGTGAAATTGGGAATTTGCTGGAAACCTCGACTGAGAGGGTGTTACTTCGATTATAGACCTAGGTTGATGAGGTGTCACTTGTAATCACAAAAGAGCATCAAAGGCCCAGAGTAATTTTGAATCAGGATGCAACACTTGCAGCCCTAAATTGGGAACAGCTCTCCATGAATGAAAAAAAAAATACAAATACTGAAATATTCCAAATAATTCCCAATTTCAACATTGTTATAAATATCGGCTGCAGCAATGAATAAACAAAAATATAGAAAATGTAGACCTGTTCATGGGCCAGGTTGGGCCAATCTTTTACCATTTTTATCAATAGAAAATGTCTAGCTTGAATTCGAGCCTGAATTTGGTCCGATAATTGAACCTATAATTGAGCCCAAACCCGAAGCCCAGTCTGAGTAGGAACAAGCCGTGAATTTTGACAAAAATGCAATTGATCGGTTATCACATTTATGATGTCAGTTATTTGGTTATAAGCCTTTTTTTTTAGGTATCATGTCTTTTTGGCATCATAGTTGAACCGCTTTTTTAAACCAATACAGATCAAGTAGACAGATATTGTGAGCATATTGAGTGATCACTTAGAAAATTTTTTGACACCTGTCCCTTAAAATACCCCAGTCTGAGACCGGATCTGCTCTTCACACAAGGCACCTCACAGCGACTTCACGCGCACATTTGGATGTGCCTGTGAGGCACCCATGTGTGAGGAGCAGATCCCGTTCCCCTCAGTCTATCTTTAAAAAAGATTAAAAACAACTTTTGGTACAGGCGTTAAAATATTTATTAAGTGAATATGCTTACAATTTTGTGTCCACTTATATCCGGACTCAAGAAGATCTACTGTACCGACTTGTCAAAAAAAGATCTACTGTACCTGTGTGCGACGAGGGTGCATTGGCAGCGACCGCAGTTGCTACATTATCCAATGACCTCCAATAAAAATTGAGCACACGAATCATATTTTTAAAATTTAATAAACATCTCTTACAATACAACCAAAAGCACTCTTACCTTCCTCCTTTAGAGAGGCATCAAATTTGATCATTATTCCGTTTTCTATAGTAGAGTGGGGGAGAATGACTGATCAGCCCAGCTCAGAATTCTCTAGCACCACCCTACAGAGGATGAATCCTGATCATGGATTGATGTCAAATCTACTGGCAGGATATGGTTTATAGGGGGGCTAGGGGTTATAATTCGGAATTCTACGATGAGCTGCAAAGTACTTTTCCCCCTTTTTTTGGGAGGGAACCCATCCTTGGTTAGAGTTTTTTATTTTGCCATTGGAGTCGTATCTATGTTTCTTTCTTTTAATGATAGACATTTTTGCCAAAAGGAAGCTTTGTTTTTATTGATGCAACCGTGTAACAGCCTTTCTTTTGGATCGTTTGTTTTTAAGTTATTTATTTGGATAAATGCTCTTATTTAGTAAATATTTTTCAAGAAACACTTATCCGGGTAAATACATTTAACAATATTCTTTTATTTCTTAAGTAAATAAGACAATGACCATTTTAGCCATAAAAAGTTACTATTAAATGGGGAGTTTTGTCCCATCTAGGGATGGCAACAAAACGAGTCTAAGGAGGGTTTTATAAATTCTAGACCCTACCCTGTCTCTCTATAAACCTCTCAACTCGTATCGGCCCCAAAACCTATAGTGGTTTGGATTTTGAGAATCCAAACCTATCTATACATGAAAATGCAAGATCCTCCTTGACCCTATCCTCTTTGTATTCAAGGGTAGGGATGGGTTGGGTTTAGAACCCTTATCTAATTTTTTTATTATTTTCTTATTATATATAACTTATAAACAAGTAAAATAACACAAATAAATAACAAAATTTCTAATTATTTAATTAAAACATATAAAAAAATGCATAAACTATCAATCATCTTTCCCATAATATTCAAAATATTATCTAAAAGCCATCCTTTCAAAGGGCGGGTACCTACGGGATAAGGGTGGAAATGTACATAATCTTTCCCCTCTCAATATCCTAAAAAAACGAGGGACCCTTTATTTCAAGTTTTGTATTCATAGTCCACTGGGAAGATAGGACTGGTTAAATCCTCTTGAGGATGATAATCATTTTTTTGGGCAAATTTTTAAACTATTCCCAAGATTTAGGAAATTAAGTAACTATCATATTGCTTTAAAGTATCCCTTCTGCTTCTAACAATTGTGGCAACTCCCTTCTCGTGTTAACTCTCCATCACTTACCATTTACACACTTATGCACAAACAGATGTACTGTTAATTCTCCCCTTCCTCTCGACCACCTCTCGGACCCAAAATCCCCTGTTTGTCCATCTCTCTCGTCGTTCATACGCTGTTTCTTTCAGGTCATACACTCTCCTCATCCACCGTCTGGACAGAAATGGATTGCACTCAGCTATGTACTCAAATCATGGGACCGTGGCGTCCAACGGTTGCCCTCAGGACTGGCACGGGATAGCTTGCGACGAGTTAGGCTCCGTGGCTGGTATTGCTCTTTGAGTCAGTAGTTAAGGACTAACGGAAGTCACAGGTGGTGAGAGTTGGGGTTGGGGATATTAAGGATGTGGGCAAAGCAACAGAAGTGATATTAACGATGCGTACAAACCAGAAATGGGGCTCGACTAAGTACACGTGAAATGAAATTATTGCGCTCTATTAAGACAATGCTGAAACATTGGGACGCTTCAATACTTCATCTCATCTAAAAGCTCAAGAGCTAGCCAAGAAATGACGAGATATCAAACGAACGACATTTGATTTGTGGTGCTCAAACGCGTTGGGGGAGGATATTTCCAGATATGGCGGTTCGGAGAGCTGCATTTCGACAAAAGCTATTGGACGCCATGTGGAATTCCTAGCAACCGTTATGAAAAAGATGGAAATTTTGAACTTGTCTCACACGGTGGAGTAAGAAGACGAAAATTTCCGTTTTTTCTTTCTGGTACTCCCCTAGAAGCTCTCGTGCTTTGAAGAAGCCAAAGGCAAGGTAAGAACGTCATTCGCTTTTTTCTTTTGGCTGTATTTTTCTTATACGATTGAATGTTTCTCAACATCGCACCGCCGGACGGAAGTTGCAGTGGTTTCTGTTATGATGCGACACCTATGCATACGGAATCCACTCGTGATTGGTTACGGAGTCGGTTAAGCCAATACACATATGACATAGCGGAGCGAATAGAAGATGAATTGAAGATATCGGCTCTGTCAGACAACGTGTTGAGTTTCAAGATTCTCCGGGAAATTCGAGGGTTTGTCAGTTGTCCTTCCCGCCTTAATTCAATGGGAAAAGTGCAGAGGTGAGATATCGCGAGTTATCTACTCATTTTACTATTTACAGATCTTCTCGTTTTAAGGAAGTTTCTCTGCTTAATCAGGAGCTTCATTATCTCGTAGTTAAGTTGTTTTCAAATGATCCATGACCAGGAAACCAATCAACGCGCGTTCGACTTGTCAACTTTATGCGGCATTCGTGCTTGTTTTGTTATGGGACAAATGGTGAGATCATGATTTGGCTGGAGAGTTGGACGGATGCTATCTGTGTCATCAACCAATCCAGATATCTCAGCAACGAACGAAAGAATCGAGATTTCAGTCTGTCTCCCCAACTTTTTAAAATCTCAGGAAAAACAATTCCATGGAGCCTGGAGGGGAGAAAGTCGACCGAACAGGCATACGTGTTGACAATATTAAATTCTTTGAACCCAATGAGACGAACGTTTTCATCAATTATTGGAGAAGTCGATGAGGGACTTGGAGCATTACAACAAATGTTCATGTTTCATCCTCATATGCATCAGTTGATCGGTTGGGTGATGCTGCGTTCCTCAACTTCTATTTTCAAGGTCTAATCGTTAAAGGCCAACGGATGTGAAGTGGCGCGATCCGGACACTCCTAGATGGTGGCTAACAGGCTCCTTGCTGGCAACGAGCGACACTTGAGAAGATGAAAAGAAGGATTCCCGGGGGTTTGCCCGGTGGGAATACTCCGATACTTAAATTAGTACTGTATATGGAAGTAACGAGGGCAAATGAAAGCTAAGAGTGGAGGTCGTGTTTATCACTATATTCGAGATGTTGGAGGTCTCAAAAAGAAAAAGAGTTTATCCTCTGCCCTGGGGGCTTTTATAGGAGCGCTCCTGCGAGATCGGGCATAACCGCCACTGGGCTCCTGCCGCAGCCGTTACCTGCCACGTCTGTGCAGGTGATCGTTACAGTGTACTATCCGCTTGGTTGAGTGACACGTCCCAAAGGGGCAGGCACGCCTCCATCTGTCGAGAGATGTGGGTACAGACTGTCGAAAGAACAAGGATTGCGCCATCAGTTGAGAGACGTAGCACAGTCTGTTCGGTACGGTCTTGTCAGATGGAAGCTTCCT